GCGACGCGCCCCTCGTCCGCTCCCCATCCCGGCCCCCTCCCCCGGAGCTGCACATCCGACCCTCGGTCTCCATAGCAACGGCCTCCCCCGCCGCCGCCAGCCCCATCCTGCTAACAAATCAATGTGCCTGTGTGTCTCCGTCTCCTGTCGCGCAGCCCTGCCCTCGGCCACCCTCCGGGCCCAGCGAGCCGGGCTGGGCTCGAGCGCTCTCCCTTAGTTCAGAAGCCGAAGGCAGATCCAATGGAGATCCGCTGTTCCTGCCCGAGCTTCCCCGCGCCCCGGGACCCCGCGGGGGACGTCGCGCTCCTTCCTGCTTTCCGACCCTTCCCCGACGCCCGCAGCCACCTGCCCCTGCCTCCAGCCCGCGCTGCTCGTCCCCGCCAGGCCCTGACCCGAGCGACGCCAGCCCAGGCCGTCCCCTTGCCCCGTGCTTGGGTGTGTTGGGGGAGGCCGTGGACCACAACCAAGGCAGAACCTGGAGCTTGGCTGGGGTTGGGGTGCACGGCTGGGAGTACGTCCCGCTCCCCCTGAGCCCGGGTGACCTGCGGGTTTTGAGCCACGCACTTCCTGTCCACGGCTCTTCCCGACGTGCGCGGCAGACACTCGGCGTGAAAACGCGGAGCGGGAAGTGGCGGGAGTGTCGCGGGGTTCAGTGTGGGTTGACGGAGAGGGGCTCACGAGCGAAGATGGCGGGGTCCAGGAAAGGGGGCCAAGGCCGAGCCGAGGATCCCTCGCGTGCGCACGGAGTTCTTGTTCAGCTCGTGCTGACCGGTGGCTGGGGCAGCAGAGGGGACAGCAGCCCAAGTCCGGGCCCAGCTCTGCCGGACCCCTTTCTCTTACCGCCCAAGATGCAAATCACAGTACCCACTCCTCGGAACCCACGATTTAGTGAAAATATCGATGATGAACTTGACTGGAAGTCGTTTCCCTTGGCAAGGGATGGGGAGAGGGGAGGGAGAGAGGGAGGGAGAGAGGAGAGAGAGAAAGAAGAGGGCGCAAAAGCGAGCCAAGGAGTCTGACTCCAAGGAGCAGGAAAGCCCAGAGCGGAAAACCGTCTTCGTGTCCAAAGTTAGGTGCTCGGCGGCCGGCGGGCGCGGCGAGGTCCTGGATCCGCAGGACGAGCGCGGTTCTGGGCCCACCTTCTCCCCCACTCCCCGCCCCCGCCCCCGGAACCTCGGGGTTCCAAGTTTTGGCCTCACTCTCAAACTTTACAAGGTGGAAACTGGGTGGACAGTCTCATCTCTCTGGCCATTCTGTCTTAACGAACAGTGAGCTGGCGACACCCGGATCGCCCCGGCGACCCACGCTGGCCGCCTGCAAGAGGCCGCCGACGGCCGCGTCCTTAATCATAAAAAGTCATTCCCGGTAACAAATAGTTTCGTTGGCCGGTGCCAGCGATACAGCTGTTTCTGTTTAAGCTTAAATACTTTCCAACAGTTTGGGCAGTAAAAATAAAGTCGGTCTCAGCCGCCTCTAAGTGTCTGGTTTCCCCGCCCAGAGAAAGCCCACCCTCCGCCCTGGGCCCGGGTCGCCCTGCACAACCCGCCCGCCCCCTCTTGGAATCCGCTGCCCGCGGTGGGCGATGGCTCTCGGGCTGCTCAGCCCCGCACCGGCCATCCAAGCTCCTCGGGCGTCTCCAGGGCTACCTCGGGGACCGGAGGGAGGGCGCGTGCCCCGATCGGGCCGAGGACCAGACCCGCTTCGCCTCCGGCCCTGCCCCCACCCCTCGCAAGCTCGGCTGCACCCGCAGAGTGGTGGTTTCCCTTCAGATAGGGTTTCTGGAGCCCAGTCCCCGGGAGTGTGTTTGCGTTGGGTGCCTTTACAGCCCCGGAGTGTGCACGAGGCGTGCAGAGGTCGATGGTTTCAGTTTCACGCTGAAAAACTTGGCTCTCCTCCTCCCTCCCGGTGTTTCTCTTCTTCCCTTCTTTTTTTTCCCTCTCCTTTCCTTCCTCCCTCTCTCCTTCCTTCCTTCCTTCCTTCCTTCCTTCCTTCCTTCCTCCCTCCCTCCCTCCCTCCTTTCCTCCCTCTCTCTCTCTCTTTTCCCCCTATGCCTAAAAGCCTCAGAAGCTGGAAGTGGGGAAGTGGAAACCCCGGAGCTGCCGCGCCCGGGCCCCTCCTCTGGAGGGTGTTCAGTAATTTTTTTCGCTTCTCCGCCGCATTTTCCCGCCTGTCTTTATGCCTGGTGAAAACGCTTGTTCTGAACAAGGTTATCGCTTGTGCAGTGTCTGAGTTTGCAGACGTCGGGGATTCCTGCAGAGCCCATAGCTAAGGCTCGATCCAGAAGAGAAGAGACGTATAGACTAATCTGACAGCAGTCAGACCAAGTCCCGTTGGCAGCAGACAAAACCAGCCCCACGAAGGAAAACAACCCTGAACTTGGGGGGTGTGGTCTCACCCCCCGCCTGGCGCACCCGCTGCCAGCTGTCCGCGAGAGAGCGGGGTTCCAGAGTGTGAACACAGCTCACTGGGCGACCTCGAATCTCTGGCAGTTTGGAGACTAAGCGAGAGGTGACAGTTGGAGAAATGGGTTTGTAGTCCAGAAAGACCCAGAGCTGAGGCCTCCCTGACGGTCGCCGAAGGATGCCCGTACACGCCGGGAGAGGGCGCTCGCGTGGGGGTGGTAGAGGCGTCACTCCCGCCGAGTCCAGGCCAGTCCTTTGAAGCTGGTGGGCCTGTGGCTCTGTCTTAGAAACCAAGGGAGCGAGGAACCCCACTCCCCCAACTTTCTTATTAAACCTCCTATCCTCGATCGCTCAGTTCTTCACACCTCCCTTCTTTACTCCACGCGATCCTTTTCTCCTTCAAAGTGATGTCACTGCTTTTCTCGCTAGAACTTCCCAGCAGTAAACAAAATAAAGTTTCAAAGACGAGAACCCTCTGCTCTTAAGCCCACCCGCTCAGCGGTCCTTGGCGCGGCTGTCAGGTTGGAGTGCGCCGCCTCTGCAGTAAATAAGGTAACTGCTTCCTATTACTTTAGCCCCATATGGCTGCAATTTGAGTGTCTTTGGAGACAGTGCGTGTGTTGGGGCGGGGGGTGGGGGTGAGGGGGGAGTGAAAGTGGAAATCAAATGCTCTCAGATCGCATTTTTATGAAGGAAATTGTAGGCGATTCTCTTAGCAGCCTCCTTCCATCCCTAGTTGTCTGAAGGAGCTGCCCAGTTTCTTTGTTTCCGGAAATGCAGGCGCTGACCCACCTCAGGACACCTGCTTCCCGAACCCCGGGTCTCCTGCCTGATTCTGTACTCGACTTGGGCACACGCCTGCGACTTACTTTCCCGACAAAGGGCCTCAACCTGCTCCCAAAGCCTGGGAGCCAGCCCGAGACCTCTGTCCCAGTCCCTGAAAGGTGCCCAGACTCTGTGCTCCATGCTTGGCCTCAAGAGGCCTCCCAGGTTCCAGGGGCCCTCGTAGGCCTCCCTATGCGGGCTGCCGGGGTATGCAGCCCTTGGGCAGGGAGGCCGGAGGCTGGCAGGGTCCGAGGAGAGGAAAGGGAGGGGCGGCTGGGGCGAGGCGCTGGGCTCCTGGGTTGCCCGCCAGACCAGCAAGCCCCAGCGCATCCTCTAGCTCCAGGGCGAGGCTGGGCCTCGGCTCGTTCTTTGGGAGCGTTTCAACTCCGCGGCTTGGCGGGCGTCGGACCTGCCTGGTCTTGGCCGCAGACGCGGGCAGATTTGGAACCCGACCGTTTGCCTCGGCCCGCCAGCGGGTCGGCTGTGAAGTGAACACGGGTGGCTCGGGGGCGTGGCCGCGGGGGCCACGGCCTCATGTGCGGCTGCGTGGCTCACGGCTCACCCCTGGGGTCCTCCTACCCACGCCAAGCCAGGGCCAGGCGCCTGCGAGGCACTGATTGCCCACTACTGGGGGAAGCCGCAGGGGTGACCCAGCATCCTGCAGAGAGGTTCGAAGACCTGTCCTGGGAAGGCTGGCGGGTGACCGCAGGTGAGGCAGCGGAGTTTTGTGGTCCGAGCTCCAGCTTCTAGGTATTCCCCCGAGTGAGAAGTTCCCACCTCTCCTCCCCAGGAGACAATCGGGCCGCCCTCGTTAGAGGAACACTAGACCACTCCGCAAAGGAGGGGCTGGCCATGTCCCAGTAACGCCCCAGGAACCTGCCTAACCTTTAACTTCGGTCTCCTGAAAACAAGGGAACCAAAATCAGGGCCCCCGCTTCCCCGCTACAGGAGAAAGAGCAGCCCCTCCAAGGCAAGCGATGTTTCCTGAGCAGTTGTCTGGCGCCTGCATCATCCCACTTAGTATTCACAACCACCAGACAAGATCAGTTCCATTATCTCCATTTTATAGAGGAGCGCAAACTTGAGGCTCCGTGAGGCCAACTTGCCTAAGGGCGCACAGCAGGGGTCTGCCTAGGAAGTCCTAAGCCCAAGTCTCTCTAATACTCTACAGCGGGGGCTTTGG